TCACATCTCCTCCGCCTCCGCCTTGTCATCGTCGGCGTCGTCGTCGTCGTCGCCGTCGGCGGCATCGGCACTCTCGGCCTTCTTGGCCTCGTCCTCCTCCTTTTTCTTGGCCGTCTCGACCTCGTTCAGGGCTTTCCACTTCTTGGCGAACGCGTCGGCCTCAGCCACGTCATCGCACAGGATGATGTTGTCGAAAATGGTGCCGCCCTTGACCTGCCACAAGTCGAAGCCCAAGAAACCGAAATCGGCATACGAGTAAATCTTGTCATCGTCCACATACTCGGGGTTGGCGATCTTCTTGGCCTCCCAGATCCCTTTGTAAGCCGGGTTCTCGATCCTCTTGACGCTCCAGTCACCCTTGTACGCGGGATTGTCCTTCATGGGGGCCTCCCACTCGCCGTCCTCCTCATCGTCCCAATCGTCTGGCTTTGACGCCGATTCATCCACGATGCGCTTCTCCTCCACCCAGTCGTCGGGCTTCTTGTCATCAGGATCGTCCATCATGGAGCTATCCACCCAATCCTCTGGTTTCTTGTCATCCGGATCTGGGATCTCCTTCGGCTTCAGGACCTCCCAATCCTCCTTGATGGAACCCTCATAGATCTTCTCCTCATCGATCTCAACGCGGACGGTGTTATCCGGCTTGAGGACCATGCGATAGAGATGGGAGATGCCAGAGTCCTCACCCTGCTTGTAGCTCAGATCAGACTTCTTAAGCACGTTTTGGCCCTTGTAATTGAAGATGAGGTGCGTCCTCTTGGTGTACCCGCACTTGTCCGGCCCGAACATGATGTTGTACGGGGTCGGGTCGCCAAACGTCGTCAGGTCAGCGAGCTTGGGGCCGATCTTCATATACCCGCCGCCGCACTCCACGTCCTTCTCGTACTTGGCCTGGTACTGAATGATGAGATCCTTGCCCTCGTTGCTGAAGGGCTCGAAGGACGTCGCGATGCCGAAGAAGCGGGAGTCCTCGCTCGTCTGAATGCCCTTGTCCTCGGCTTCGTCCTTGAACCACTTTCCTGGGGAAACCAGAAGATACCAATACCGCTACTCTTAGGTCGGGCATGTCCTCCTACAGGCGGATTTTAAAGAAACATACACAACAACTCAAAACATGTTCACCAAACATAGTCGAGACATCATCCCCATACTATTTTTTGGCTGGTCTTGAAGTTTCCTCCTGTAGAGGGATGGGCCCGACTTGACGCTACTCCGACATGGCCTGAGGAGGGGGGACTGGCCTGGGGGGGAGACAGGTGACCTGGAATCGGCGACACATCGCCGATCGATCGGCGGTACGGCAGGTTCGCGTCGTGTCGACCCCGGCGTTGGTACCTGACACCGCGGGGATCGTCCAAACTTGAACGATCGGCCCTTTCAAACAGGCCGGATCGTTCAAGGATGGGCCGATTCTGGGCCACAGGTGGCGCTCAAACTCAAACGCCCGCGCTGGGGTCGCCGCCGGTCGACACGACGCGAACCTGCCGTACGCCTCCGATGGGAACCCCCCACTCTCCTGGGCAGGCTGGGGCACGCGGTGGCCCCCACTGTCGACGAGTGTTGAGCAGGGGCCGACCGTCCCGGCAATCCGAATGTAGGCATACCACGACGTCTCGTAGACCCCAGGAAGTCTGTTCGAAAAACAACAACAGATATCAGAACATGGGCCCGATGTATTAAGACAAGGCAGCCTCACCCTGGGAAAATGTCTAAGACCAGCTCGTGCAGACCACAATAGTAGGTGCTTAGAATATTGATCGGTGGGCCCATAAGAGAGCCAGGACGCTTCGCCACCGCTCGAGAGTGGGTGACCCGGGGCCGAGGCTCCATGCCCCATGCACCCCCCTGGACCAAATCCCCCCGTCGTTGGGGCCCTTGGGGAAACCAGAAACTACGAATATGAATGGGCCCTGGGACACACAAATAAATACACACACAAATAACAGGATTCCCCATATTTTCCTATAATGTTCTGGGTTTTTGTCTTCCCCCCCACTTCCCATATTTTCCCACATTTTCCGGGGAATCGACGATTCATTGTGTCTGTGTGTTTTCCCTCCTGAGAATATCACGACTCCCCGGACCTCTCGGGGGTGTGTCCTGAACAGGCTATCGAGGCGAAGCCAGCCGTGGCAAACACGAGGGCCTTCCCAGGAGGCCCCCACACGCGAACGCGAGGCAAGGGTAGCGAAGTATGCGTACGTTTCTTCCCCTGAGCTCTCCTGCGGTCGCGACCCACGTGCCGGCAGTGCCCTCGCTCTCCTGGGGAAACCAAGAGGTCCCGACACCGCTGCTCCCCGGACCCCTCCTGGGCTGCGTTCGGGCCAGAATCCAGAATTTCGGGGCGAATCCAGCGGTGGCGACGGGGGCCTCCCAGAAGGCCCGATCGGAGGGAAACGGGGCGAGGGGCAGCGGTATGGAATGGGCACCTCTTCCTCCTCTGGTCTCCTTCCACTTGCTCACGGTCCAGCGGCTCTCCCAGCCGTCCCCGAAGGTCTCCGAGAAGTACACCCTCGCGTCGGCCAGGGCGGCGGCGCCCGCCCACGCCAGGATGCCTCGCATGGCGAGAGAAAAAGTTGTGTGCACGCGTGCGCTCCCTCGCAGGGCGGGGGGGGCAACAGTGAGCTCCGCCTGGCTGGGCCCCACAGCTTGAACCAAAATGGCTGTGGTGGGGAGACTGGCTCTCGGAGTTCAGGAGACTGGCTTTTTGAACTCCAGAGACTTTTTGAACTCCAAAGACTCTTTGGGCTCTGTAACCGAAAAAACGAAGAACGCGATTGAAGTAGATTCCTGTGCGCTCTCAAGGGAGGCGCGCGCGCTAGGAAGGACTAGTCGACACTAGTCGACTAACAGAACATAATTCTGATTTGTCGACGTGAAGAACGCACAAGGACGCTTGTTTCTGGAACTCCAAAAACCAGCTTTCCGAACTCAAGAAAAGCAGCTCTCCCGAGAGGGCGGCCCGAAGGCCGGGGCGCCGGAAGGAAGGGCTCGGCGCGCCCCCGGGGATGCACCCGCCCAGCCGGGCAGCAGAGATAGCGCCTGAAGCCCGACCCAGGACATGACTACCTGCCAGACCACCCCAACCCAACCCGAAGATCCGAAGTTGACCCGAATTGCGGGTTGGGGGGGGGTACGGGTTCCATGTGTTTTCTCGATGTTCCCCGACCCCCCCCTACTGGAAATCGAGGGCAAATTTGGGCCTTCGGGTTGGGTTGGGGTGGTTTGGTGGCTGGTGAGGACAGAAGAAGATCCTTCCAGCTGGGCGCGAAGTCAGACAGCCGAACATCTGATCAAGAAAATCAGCACTTGGAAAACCTGAGCCAGCTTCCCGGAAAGTTCTCAAGACACAAACCTGGCCAGGTTATTGTGTCAACGCTGGACGGGCGAACGCGCTCAAGAAACCGAGCCGGAGGAGGTTTCTTAATCAGACGCTCGACGGCGGGGTGCGATCAGTGCGGCAGTGGAAAGGTGCCCTCTGGAGCCTGAAGGGCCCCTTTAGGGGGCCCTAGAGGGCCACTTTTCGGCAGCCCTCGCTGCCCCCCACCCGTGCGTCGCCCCCCCATCTTACGCGCCCCCCCGGTCCAGAACACGAGACCCTCCGCCGGCCAGAATACACAGACAGAACAGCCAAGGGTACCCTCCCCAGGACACACGAGAGAATCCGACAAGCACGAAGAACACGAGGGCAGCCTCCCCGAGCCGGCCTCGATCTTATGCGTGCCCCGTTCCCAGTCAGAGCTGGCCTGCGAAACGGTATCGACCAAAACGGCCTTGGAGGAGGGGGAGGCCGGAAGGGAGGAGAGAAGGGCGAGGAAGCCGAGCCTGCGCGTATGGGGTCCGTTCGCAAGAGCAGCGCTTCGGATCTGAGAGAACAGGCGTGCCTCCCCCTCTCACCATCACGACGTTGCCCCTCGCACTCCTGCCCCCGCTTCTGCTCATCCCGCCCCTCCTGCCCCCTCATTCCCCTCCTGCTGCACTTGTCCCCCGTCAACACCGCATGCCCCTCCACCTCCCCCTCTCCACCTCACGTGTGATGACTTGGCGGGAGAAGAGGCACAAGAAACCAAAACATTAAGTATTGAGATGAACGGAGATGGCGACGGAGATGATGACGGAGATCCTGGTGATGATGATGATGATGATGATGATGATGATGATGATGATGATGATGATGATGCTATTGATAATGATGCTGACGATGATGCCTATGATGATGATGATGATGATGATGACGATGATGATGATGACGATGACGATGACGATGACGATGATGATGCTGTTGATGATGATGCTGATGCTGATGGTGGTGGTGATGATGGTGGTGGTGATTATGATGATGCTGATGATGATGATGATGAAGATGAAGATGTTATGTGTAACTATGGTGATGGTGATGGTGATACCTGTGATGCTTATGCTGGTGATGATGACTGTTGGTCCGATGATTGGTCCTGTTGGTGCTGAAGTTAATGCTAATGGTAATGCTGATGCTGGTGCGGGTGATGGCGATGGTGATGGTGACGGCGATGGTGATGGTGATAGTGATGGTGGTGGTGATGATGACGATGAAGATGACGATGACGATGACGATGGCGATGAAAATGGCGATGACGATGATGATGATGATGATGATGATGATGATGATGATGGTGATGATGAGGGTGAGGATGAGGATGAGGATGATGATAATGATGATGATTGATGGTGACGATGATGATGATGATGATGATGATGATGGTGGTGGTGGTGATGCTGATGGCGATGTTGATGACGATGACAATGACTAGGATGCTGGCAGTGATGATGATGATGATGATGATGATGATGGTAGTGGTGATGGTAATGGTAATGATGATGATGATGATGATGATGTTGATGATGATGATGGTAATGGTGATGATACTGATTACGCCGACGACGATGATGATAATGATACTGATGACAATGGTAATGATGATAACGATGACGATGGTGACGAAGATGCTGCTGATGATGCT